GATTCTGACTCATAGAGACTCCCATCAGGTTTCCAAGAATGTAAATCTTTACAGAAGCAGACTGTCTCATCTTTCTTCTGCAGAGTGGCTAGTGGGTTTGAACCACTGACCCTTTGGTTAGCAGCCAGATGCCTTAACCACTATAACACACACACACACACACACACAAACCGCTGCCATGGATTCCACTCCCACTCACTAGCAACCCTTATTGGGTTTCCAAGGCTATAAATCCTTATGCAAGTAGATTGCCTCATTGTCCTCCCATGGAGCAGCTGGTGGGTTTGAACTACTGAACTTCTGGTTAGCAGACAAATGTCTTACCCTATGCCACCAGAGTTCTTTTAGTTTAATTCAAAGTCCGCCAGACAGTGATATGTATCAGAAAGCCCTGGGGAGCTTGTTGAAGAAAAAAAAAATACTGATGACTACCCCAGTGCTGCTGAGTGAGAATCTCTCAGGATGGGGCTCAGAGAATCTGTGTTTTAACAAATTTCCCAGTAATTCTGGTATAAGGAGCCTTGGTGGCACAATGGTTAAATGTTTGGCTGCTAACCAAAAGGTCTGTGGTTTGAACCTACCAGATTCTCTGTGGGAGAAAAGACCTTTATGGAGCAATCTGATCCTGTAAAGATTACAGCCTAGGAAACCTTATGGGACAGTTCTATTCTGTAATATAGGGTCACTATGAGTTGGAATCAACTTGACAGCACACAACAATTTTGGTGTGCAACAAAGTCTGAAAACCTTTGGTTTTAATAGAAGGAAAACAATCCTTGTGAGAAAAGTTGAAAGAACAGGAAATAATTTCCTTTAAGATGTTCCTCATAAGGTCTCTAATATTGAGAGAGTAGAGAAGAAAAGTAGATTTAAGTTGTAGTGAGTTTGGTTAGAGGAAGAAGATAAAGAAGTATTTCTTAAGTCTCAGTATATATCAAGAGTTTCTGTCAGTTTAGAAAACCACCACTAGATGCCATTTCAATTGACTCTGACTCATAGTGACGCTATGTGTTTCAGATTAGAACTGTGCTCCGTACAGTTTTCTATGCCTGATTTTTTCTTTTCTCTTTTTTAGCTAGCATTTACTTGAGTGCTTACCATTACCTAGGCACTGTTCTGAATGCTTCAGGTACATCACAACTTGTTGTTGCTGTTGTTATATGCCATCGAGTCAAACCTGACTCAGCGACCCCTCCTTGGGTTTCCAAGGCAGTTTCACTACAAAAGTAGATTGCCCCATCTTCCTTCCGAGGAGTGGCTGTTGGGTTTGAACCTCCAGCCTTCTGGTTAGCAGTCAAGTGCCTTAGCCACTACACTACCAGAGCTCCCACATCACAACTAGGTAGATAGTATTATTCTTTTCATTTTACAAATGGAGACACTGAAACAGTTTCAGAACTTGCCCAAGGTCACAAAAAGAGGCAGAGGCAAAGTTCAAGCCTCTGAGGACCTTAGAGGGTCCTCACCTCTGAGCCCAGGCTCTTAACAACTGCACTCTCCTGCCCCTGCAATTTATATATGATTCTGTGCATCACTCCATCCATACACCAATGTGGTGAAGTGGAAATTGTTATCCACATTTTCCAACATGGAAATGAAATATCGGAGAAGTTAAGTAATATGCACAAGATCACACAG